ACAGCAGAGGGCTGGATTGGAAGTGGAGCAGCCGGGTCTTGAACCGGCGCCCATGTGGAATGCCGGTGCTTCAGGCCAGGGCGTTAACCTGCTGCGCCACAGCGCCGGCCCCACTTTTTCTTTTAAACCAATTCATATATATAACTTTTAGGAATGTGGATGAAAAACAAATAGTTATCTGAATTTCTGATTACATATTCAAGTCATATGGAGGAGAACAGAGCAGTAGAGAAGTGGAATCGCTGATGCTGTGAACATCTTAGACTCCAAAGGTAGTTTTATGGAATGTTCAGTCCTAAGATCTGATAAATTTGCCTAAATTCATTTGAATTGGGTTTTCTGTTATAGATAATAAAAAATGACCTTGCTAAAATTATTAGGTATCACCTTATAAGCAATTTTTAAGGACTAGTACTTATTATTTTACTATTTGTATTGTAGCTTATAATTATAGACATACAGAGTTATTTTTAATTTGTTTGGCAAATATTTGAGTCATTCAGTGTTACGCTGTCACAAAACACACCAAACAGCAGAGTAAGGGAAAGAGTTTATTGGGGAAAACGCAGCAGACTGGAGGGAAGGGGCAAAGAAGGAAAAGGAGAGTAAGAGAGAAAGAGAAGAGAGGAGAGAGGTGTGTGAGAGAAGAGGAGGCTAGAGAGAGCCCAGATCAGGAGCAGATCCTTTTAAAACTTTGCCGGAAGGTGGGCAGGGAAGCAGGAGCAGCGAATCCCATTAGGATGAGGGTGGAGCTTGACAACGGTGGTTGGGCCATGTGGTCACCTGGCTTTCAGCAATGGCGGCGGGAACCAGGGCATAGGATGTAAATCAGGTATAGATCGCGCCACAGATTAGACTGCGTCATTTTCCTAACATTCAGGGTATGAGAATCTTTTCAGAAAAGTATAGATTTATACTAAGTTTTTTTTTTTTTTTTTAAATAATAAGGATCTGTATTGGGAAGTAGTGGAATACAGCTTATTTCACGTGAAAAATATTTGAGTGGGGGCCAATGTTGTGACTTAGCAGCTCTGTGGTTGTGGCTTGGCTGCCTGTGGTGCCAGCATCTCATATGGGCACTGGTTCGAGTACTCCACTTCCCATTCAGCTCCCTGCTAATGTGCCTGGGAAAGCAGCAGAGGATGGCCCAAGTCCTTGGCCCCCTGCACCCACTTGGGAGACTCAGAAAAAGCACCTGACTCCTATCTTCAGATTATCCCAGCTCCAGCTATTTTGGCCATCTGGGGAGTGAACCAGCAGATGGATGATCTCTCTTTCTGTCTCTGCCTCTTTCTCTCTCTCTGCAACTCTGCCTTTCAAATAAAATAGTAAATAAAAATCTTTAAAAAAAATAAAAGTATTTGAGTGATAATGCAACACAAAACTCATTCCCCAGATAGATACATAAATAATATTCTAGCTGCTTCATTTTGAGTTGTAAATGTGTGCTTGGTTAATTTTTTATGAAAGACCATAGTCATCGAAGCCTGACTTTATACAAATTTTCAGTTGTTCTCCATTTTGTTCATGATGAAGCTCAAATATTTTGGCCAATGAAAGGCCTTTTTACCCTTATTTTTTGTAATTTTTCCTGACTGACATCCATGTGTTTCCTTGATCCAGAAATTGATTTCCTTCCCTTTGCTTGCTCTTTTTAATACTTTCTGCCTATTTAAATAATATCCATAATTTTTGTCCCCATTTTGATTCTACCTCTTTAATTTAATAAGATCTTTGTTAATTATCTACCATGACTATAAATAATCGCTCTTAAAGAGTACTTCAGTTTTTGTTGTGAGAAAAGTAAAACAATCTGGAATAAGGTGAAATAAATGTCCCTCTTTTTAGTCCAACCTTCCAGAGGAGGATACAGATTCCTCAGTATTTTCCTGTGCATATTTAAGCATATAGGACTTCTTTGGTTATCATTTCTTTTGAGTACCATGTTTGCATAATTCCACAGCCTTGGGCCAGCATTGTGGTGTATTGAGTTAAACCATAGCTTGCTACACTTGGTTCAAGTTCTGGCTGCTTTACTTCCAATATAGCTGTCTATTAACGCAACTGCGAAAGCAGCAGATGATGGTCCAGATGCTTGGGTTCCTACCCCAATGTGGGAGGCTGGGATGGAATTCCAGAATCCTGGCCTTGGCCTGGCCCAGCCCTGGCTGTTATGGCCATTTGGGGAGTGAGCCAGCGGTTGAAAGGTCTGTCTCTCTTCTCTCTCATCACTCTGCCTTTCATATAAATAAATGAATAAATAAAAGTCTTAAAAATAATACTGTAGGCTTCATAGTTTTATATTTCTTTTGGCAAAAATTTTTCAAGAATGGTGATATGTACTTCATATTACATCATGCAGGAAATACTCTCTCTGTGATATTTTGATGAATCAGTGATTTAGACATTGTCAACCTGATTTATCCCTATAAGCCTTTTACCAAATGATTCTTACCAATCTCATTCTTTTCAATAGTCATAGAGAGAGCTACTATGCTATCTACTAAGACTAGGTCCTGGAGCCAGACTGCCTGATACTTATGTCCTTTAGTTATGGAATACCCATCTGTGGCATTAATTTCCTCCACTTTTAGGTGCTTTACAAGATTGTTTCAAAGATTTAATGTGTTAAATGTTTAATGTTGTGCATGGTACTTAGTAAGCATGTGCTAGTTACAGTATATAATGATTTAGAAATTTGTTTTTGCTGTCTATGTATTTGATACTTATTTGCATGAAAATTCTTTTTTTTATTTTTAGACACTATTTACCAAAATTTTAAGTCATTTTCCTAAGAGTAAATATATATATTTATATATAAACATTATATAATGTTTATATACATTATAATCCTCTCTCTTTTTAAATTTTATTTATAAACATAATGAAGATCTCTCTCTTTGTCTCTCCCTCTCTCTCTGAGACTTTACCTTTTCAGTTACAAGGGGGTCAAAGGTGTAGGAACGTAGTTCAATCTTCCATCCACCGGTTCACTCCCCAGATGGCCACAATGGCCAGCACTGGGCCAGGCCAAAGCCAGGAGCCAGGAGCTTCATCTGAGTCTTCTACAAGGGTGTCAGGGTCCCAAACACTTGGACCATCTTTCACTGCTTTTAACAGGCTACTCTCAGGGAGCTAGAGTGGAAATGGAGCAGCTGGGACATGAACCGACTCCCATATGGGTGGCTGGCATCACAGGTGACAGTTTTATCTGCTATACTGCAATACTAGCCCCCATAAATTCTTTTAAAGTAAAAAATTAAGCTTCAAGAAAATCATCACATTTTTAAGAAGAATGGATCTCAGTTTGTATTTCAAAATTGCCTGATTCTGTAGGGAGAAATAGTCTTTGAGTTGGAAAGAAGTAATAATTATTAGTATAAAAGAACTATGGACTGTGGTAGTTAAAGTAGTGAGATGATTCACTTACTAGTACTTAATTTATTTTAATTTTCTTCATATACGTGAGTGTTTATCTAGTTGCCAGTGGATACACATGACTTCATTAAATCATTAAGTGGTCGTTGAGATTTCATGACAGATATAATGGGTACCTATAGATGATCAGATGTGAACTTGATTTTTTAAAAAAATTTATGTGAGAGTGAGAGATCTCCCTTTTGCGATTTACTCTCCAAATCTCTTCAGTGGCTGGAGCTGGGCCAGGCAAAAGCTGGGATCCTGGAATTCAACCCAGGTCTCCCATGTGGGTGGAAGGGACTGAAGAATTTGAACCATCATCAGTGCCTTCCTGGTTCCACATTACCAGGAAGCTGGAGCTGGGCATTTAATCCATGCACTCCAATATATGATATGAGCATCTTAACTGCTTGGCCAAAGGCCCACCCCAGGCTTCAATCTTTCAGAAAGGGAAAGTCTGGGCTCTAGAAATTATAACCCAGTAAACTTTTTATTGATCTTTGACAAGTTTTTAGAAATAAATTTTAGAAGGTTTTAAACATTTATGAAAAAATGTCCGGCAGAGAAAACCAAGTTGCCTACCAAGAACATATTATATTAAATTAATTTCCTTCATTTCTTCTTTTTCTTCTTTTTTCTTTTTTTTAAGTTCTATTTATTTATTTGAAAGGCAGAGTTACAATGGGGGACGGGGAAGGAGAGAGATCTTCCTTCCCCTGATTCACTCCCCAAATAGCCACAATGGCTAGGTCTGAGCCAGGCCAAAGCCATGAGCCTGGAACTCCATCTGGATCTCCCATCTGTGTGCAGGGCCCCAAGGATTTAGGCCATCTTCCACTGCCTTCCCAGTGCATTAGTAGGGAGCTGGATCAGAAGTGGAGCAGCCAGGTCTTGAACTGGTGTGCCTGTATGGACTGCCAGCATTTCAAGTGGTGGTGGCTTAACCCCTTGTGCAACAATGCCAGCCTCATCCTTCATTTCTTAATAGGTTTATCAGAATGGATGAATTAGAGAATTAGAAACAGTTTGTAAATTTTAGTGTTTGACAGAGTCTTTGACCATATCTTTGGTTAAGATGTGTTGGTAAAGTGTTTAAATTTAGAGAGTAAGTTAGATTCACAGTAGTTTAAAATCCATAATTGGTAGTTGACTTGAGAGACAACATCACCCTTGACAGAGGTCTTTAAAGTGTATTCCAGTGGACTTGTCTCTGTCTTGTCTCAACATTTCTGTCATTGATTGACTGAAGGTTTAGAAAGCGGGTATATCTGCTTGTAGATTATTCAAAACTGGACCTGGATAACTGGTACCATGGAAGGTAATCAAGAAGGTCTCACTAAAACCTGATAAATTAGTCTAGTACAATTCTATCTTTCTATCTCCTATTACATTTTTATACTTTGTATGTAATATAAATTCATAATTTAGGTTGCTTCAGGAAAAAATTTTTTTCCTGCCTGACATTTTTACCAAATCAATATATGAATTGTAGGTATTTCTTACTATAGCATAATATCCTTAATAATACAAACTGAAACTTGGAAGAGTATGTATATAAAATAAATTTTTATTTACTCTAGGAATATGAAGCACGGACAGGGAGGACCTGTAAACCACCACCTCCATCTTCAAGACGTAAGAATTTTGAATTTGAACCACTTTCTACCACTGCTCTGATTCTTGAGGATCGACCGTCGTAAGTATTTTGTTGATCAGTGGAATGCTGTTTCTATTTTAAGCTTAAATCAAATTTTGTTCACCATTTCACTTGAAAGATACTGAGAAATTAGATGTGAAAGAGATTTATTAAATTAAAAAAAAATTCCAGACATGTATCCAAAACGAGTAAGGGAGAATATATTGATATCCAAATCTTATGTATTTTTCTAGATATTTCCATAGGTAATACATGAAACATAAGATCTTGACTTTTTTTTTTTTTTAAGATTTGATTTATTTATTTGAGAGGTAGAATTACACAGTGAGAGGCAGACAGAGAGAAAGGTCTTCCTTCTGTTGGTTCACTCCCCAGATGGCCGCAACAGCTGGAGCTGCGCCAATCTGAAGCCAGGAACCAGGAGCTTCTTCCAGGTCTCTCATGTGGGTGCAGGAGCCCAAGGACTTGGGCCATCTTCTGCTGCCTTCCCGGGCCACAGCAGAGAGCTGGATTGGAAGAGGGGCAGCCGGGACTAGAACTGGCGCCCATATGGGATGCTGGTGCAGTGGGAGGAGGATTAATCTACTGCGCCACAGCGCTGGCCCCCAAGATCTTGACTCTTTATGTCTGCTTTTATTTCAAACCCTCTGTTCCTTTTCTTAATATGATTGGGAAATTTTTCCTTTCTTGACATTTAATATGTACTTAAGACTATTTGTTTTTGCCTTTTATACCATGTAACTATTGAGTGTCAACTAGTTGATTGACTATTATTGTTAAGAATCCATTAAACAAATCTATTTACTTGAAAGGCAGAGTGACAGAAAAGTAGGGAGAGACAGATCTTCCATCAGGTGACTTCAACAGCCGGGGATGGGCCAGGCCAAACCCTGGTGCCAGTACCTCCATCCTAGTCTCTCACATGGGTGGAAGGTGCCCATGCACTTGACCTATCTGCTGTTGTCTTTCCACCTGCGTTAGCAGGAAGTCAGTCGTAAGCAGTGTAGTTGGGACTTGAACTGCCACTTCAATATGGAATGGTTGTATCACAAGCAGCAGTCTAACCTGCTGTGCTAAAACATTGACCCCCAAAAAATCTGCTTTTAAATTCTTAGCAAAACATCTTAAATTCTTCTCTTCCTGTCACTGCCCATCTTTATATTCTCCTCATTGCTGTTCTTCAAAATCTTCTCGGATTTATTATCAGAAAAACCACATCTTCCCTAAAGCAATACCCCTTGATTTTTAACTCCTTTTCTTTTCCTTGGTCTCTCTGAATCTATTATTTTTCTTTTACAAAGATTTTCTTTCCTTCCAGTGTAAAACTTCCTAGTTGCCTTTGTCATTTTTCTGCTCTGCACATTTTTCTGCTTATTAGTCTGATGAGCTTGAAAAAAGAATCTTGAGACTAGCAGGCAGAGGTAGAATATGTTTTAGACATTGGAAGAGAAAAAAGACTGGACATATAAGTTATTTTTTATTCTGATCACATTCCTTTATATTAAAGAATTATGGTTCATGGGGCTGGTACTGTGGTGTAGAAAGCTAAGCCTCTGCCTGCAGTGCCGGCATCCCATATGGGTGAAGGTTCAAGTCCCAGATGATCCACTTCTAACCCAGTTCCCTGCTGAGGTATCTGGGTAAGCAGCATAGGATTGCCCAAGTCCTTGGGCCCATGTACCCACTTGAGAGACTCAGAAGAAGCTCCTGGCTCCTGGCTCCTGGCTCCTGGCTTCTGCCTGGCCTAACTCCAGCTGTTGTAGCCATTTAGGTAGTAAACCAGTGGATGAAAGATCTCTTTCTCTCTGTTTCTCCTTCTCTCTCTGTATCTCTGCTTTTGAAATAAATAAATAAATGTTAAAAAAAAGAAGACTTGTGGTTGTGATGTACTTCTTTTAGAATTTGATGAAAATGTTCACATTCACTTTTTCATTGTTAAATAAAACTTTCAAAACTTTACTTATGAGAACATTCAAAGTTCTATTTCAAATTTAGCTGCCAGGGAAGAAATACACCAGGGCAATTCAAAGATTTCTTGGTGGAAACACTTATGAGAAAACAAGAATGGTTAGATTAGCAAGAAAAATAAAGAACATCTGGCTGTGTCTCTTTATACTCTTAGCTGTCAGCTGAGTAGGTATATAACTAAGTTCTCAGAAGAGCTTTCTTAATGCTTGGTAAAATTCTTCTAAAATGGGTTATGAGGGCAGGCATTTGGAACAGCAGTTAAGACCCTGCTAGGGATGCCTATATCCCATATCTAGAGTGCCTAGACTCCCATGTTCTGCTTCTGATTCCAGCTTCATGCTAATGTGTACTGTGGGAGGATGGCTCAAGTACTTGGATCCCTGCCACCCACATGGGAATCTCAGCTTGAGTTCCAGACTCCTGTTGTCACCTGGCCCAGCCTCAGTTGTTGTAGGCATGTGAGAAGTGAACCAGAGAGAGTGAACATATGAGAGTTAAACAGAGAGAGGAGAGGCAGAGAAAGATCTTCCATTTGCTGGTTCACTCCCCAAATGGCTGCAATGGCCGGAGCTGGTCCGATCTGATGCCAGGAGCTAGGAGCCTCCTCCAGGTCTTCCCATGCAGGTGCAGGGGCCCAAGGACTTGGGCTATCTTCTACTGCTTTCCCAGGCTATAGTAGAGAGCTGAATTAGAAGTGGAGCAGCCAGGACTTGAACTGGCACCCATATGGGTTGATGGCACTGCAGGTGGTGGCTTTACCTGCTATGCCACAACACTGGCCCCAGAATGCATTTTTTTTTAAAAAGATTGATTTATTTGAAAGGTAGGGTTACAGATAGGCATATGCAGAGAGAGAAATCTTCCATCCACTGGTTCATTTCCCAGATGACCGCAATGGCCAGAGTTGGGCCTATCCGAAGCCAGGAACCAGGATCTACTTCTGGGTCTGCCATGTGGGTGCGAGAGCCAAAGTACTTGGGCCATCTTCTACTGCTTTCTAGGCCATAGCAGAGAGCTGGATGGGAAGTAGAGCAGCCAGAACTTGAACCAGTGCCCATATGGGATGCAGCACTGCAGGCAGTGGCTTTACCCGCTACGCCACAGTGCCTGGCCCTGGAATGCAGTTATATTATTTCTGCTTCTCACCTACCTAATCCTTTAAGAATTGATTAGGCTTTATCTTTTCTATCAAGTCTTTGTTGACTTCTTCACGCCTTCAGTGGTACCTGTTTCTTTAAAATTTTATTATAACTTATCATGATAGTTACTTCCAATAATAATATATGAAATTGACTTGAAATAAACTAGACACAATAACTTTATAAGAAAATCCCATTGTACCACAGACATGTTTGAACAGCTAAAAAATTATTCTTTTTCATTCTAGTATTGAACCATCTGAAGTTGGTATGTTAATTGTAATAAATATAATACCTATTATTCTGTTTCTGTTTTTGCTTATCTGTATTATAGAGATTGCATTTGGTCTGAGATACCTAATTAATTAACAACTTTGTTCACCTTTTTAAATTTTAAGAGACTTTTAATTTTATTGAGTGGTAGTGATTTATATGACTTGTATTTATGTAATTAAACCCACAAACTAAGACTTTCAATAGTATTGGAATATGAGCTTCTTAATTACTCACCCCTCCTTCTGCTTAACCAGTGGAAGAACAGATGCAGAAGACAGAGAATGAAGACTTGAGTTTCATTAAGTACAAAATTGAATGGGAATACATGAGCACAGTGTACTTTTAAGTTCTCTCCTAGCAGACATGGGCAGCTAACAGCCATCCAGTCTATAGACTGATAAGCTGGAGCAAGAGACCTGAGTAACATGTAGGTTTCTTCAGTTTTTGGATTCAGGAAGGTTCAAAATGGTTAAAAAATACAATCTCTATAATACAGATAAGCAAAAACAAACAGAATAAAAGGTACTATGTTTATTACCATTAACATATCAAAAAGCAGGTAGCTCTATTCATCGCTGGCTTAAAAACTAGTGCAGTGGACCTGGCGCTGTGGTGCAGCGGTTTAAAGCCCCAGCCTGCAGCACCAGTATCCCATGTGGGCGCCAGTTCGAGTCCCGGCTGCTCCACTTCCAATTCAGCTCTCTGTTATGGTCTGGAAAAGCAGTATGTTACCTACTAGTAATGTTCGAATGTTACCTACTAGTAATGCCACTATTTCTTTGAGATAGTGTATATGAGGGTGGAGAAAAAGGCAGCACTTCTTCCTTAGTATCCAATTGATGTTGAAAGTTTCCACTTCGATAGGTCAAAGTGATAATATGAGAAGAGAGGAGGACTTTGTTCCTTACAAGTGAGTTTATGAATTGGTGCCACTTTCCCCTTTCTTGGACTCTATAATTGTCAGAAACATCTAGAGCCATTGACTTCATATAGACTGTTGTGGATGAAATTTTCCTTTGTAAATGGAGCAAATATATATGTAATCATTTGAAATCCATTTAGAAGATTTCAAATTCGGTTTCAAGCTTTTGTTAATTTTTTTTTCTTTCTGTATCTTTCTTTCCTTATCTACCTCAAAATCAAAATAGTCTTAAAGAAAAAAAGAAGAAAAGTGAACAAATGAGCTGTTTCTATTTTATTAGATCACTGATACTTACTGCACTAGTTTTTTTTTTTTTTCTTTTAAGATTTAGTTTATTTATTTGAAAGAGTTACAGAGAGAGGTAGAGCCAGAGAGAGAGAGAGGTCTCGCATCCACTGGTTTACTCCCCAGATGATAGCAATGGCCAGAGCTGAGGTGATCTGAAGCCAGAAGCCAGGAGCTTCTTCCAGATCTTCCATGCTGGTGCAGGGGCCCAAGCACTTGGGCCATCTTCTACTGCTTTTCCAGGCCATAACAGAGAGCTGAATTGGAAGTGGAGCAGCCGGGACTCGAACTAGCGCCCACATGGGATACTGGTGCTGCAGGCTGGGGCTTTAAACCGCTGTACCACAGCGCCAGGTCCACTGCACTAGTTTTTAAGCCAGCGATGAATAGAGCTAGCTACCTGCTTTCCTCTTTGACTTCTTTACCGGATTACTATATACACCAGTGCC